ATATAATTTGTTTGGACTGCAAATATAAAATATTGTTAATAATAATAAGAATCATTTAAAGCTACTATTATAATTAAATAAATATTTTATATAGAGGTTCCGAACAGTAGTTAATTGCGACAACAAAAATTTTTATTTATCTATAATTGAATTTTTGGCTAACCATACAGCTGTTCCGAGTATTGTCAAATAGTCATCATCAGTGGTCTTTGAATTATTTGTTGTTTTTAATTATTAATAAATAATTTTTTGAGACTACAAGTAACAAGGGTTCAACTGTACCCTGCCAAATTTAAAGCTCAGAGTCAGCGTTCATTAACCAACTGACTTCCCTTCCTTGACTTGTATGTTCGAACTTGGAGTTTTGTTAATTTGTTGTGAAAGTTCATTAACAAATATACTTGCTGTGTTATATTGGAACGAAATCTTAAAACAGCTGTAGAATAATTGAATTGAATAGTTATTTTTAAATATTTCAATAGTATTCTCTTGTAGAAGCATTATTTATGGCATTTTACTTATTTTGTTTATTCTCTCCTGTGTAGAGACAGTCATGCTAATGTTATTCTACATCTTCAATGGTTTTGTTAATATTATTCCAAAACGAATGTTTATAGGTAATTAACAATACTTGAAACATCTGTATGGTCACCCAAAAATTCAATTAATTACAAATAAATAAAAATGTTTGTTGATGCAATTCAGTATTGTTCGAAACCTCTCTATTAAATACAATAGTTTCTAACGTTAAAATCAAATTTAGTACAAATATTTTATATTCATTATAGAAAAATATATATTATTATTAATAATAATTAGTTTATGTACAGGAGTTATTATAATTATATAAATATATATTTAGTTCATGAACAGGAGATCTTATTAAATAGATATTAAATATTTATTATAATCAAATACTTAGATTATGAAGAGTAATTAGTTCATGTACAGCAGTTTTCTGTGAACATCGCCGAGATGATTTCTTGTATTGTATTTTGGTAGGCTCGAACATTACCAGTTCGTGACACTGTTATTGTAACCCATTAAGATTTACTTGTGAAGTCCTTTTGGAACGTATCGAATGGCACTTGTTCGTCGCTTGTGACGACGACTCTGGCACGTAGATCCGGTCTTTCTTGGAACCTGTTCATGGCACTAGATCTATCGATCAACTAATGCATCATGCCCTATTCATTATTACTGAAATATTTATTTCACCTTAGCTGTATTCAAAAATAACGTTAATCATCTCCAGGTGATTACTTAGTTCAAGGAATGAAGAAAATTATATAGGATTAGAAGATCTTTTTATAATATATATTCAAATGCAGACTATGCTACTTTGATATTGTGGTTTTCTCTCAGAAAATATGCTGTATAATGAATTAGTTATTTTCTTAGATTGAATTAAAAAAATTAAATAAAAATTTAAATTTATTAATATATTTTTTAGGCTTTGGCTGAATTGCGTCATGCTAAATGGTTTCAGGCACGTGCTACTGGCTTACAATCTTGTGTTATGGTTATACGTATACTACGTGATCTCTGTCAGCGTGTTCAATCTTGGAACGCTTTACCACAATGGTCTCTGGAATTATTAGTGGAGAAAGTGATTTCGTCAGCTGGTATGCCTATATCTCCAGGCGATTGCATGCGTCGTATAATGGAGGCATTGGCATCGGGTTTCCTTATTAATGGACCTGGTCTCTTGGATCCTTGCGAGAAAGAACCAACAGATGCATTAAATAATTTAACTAAACAACAACGTGAAGATTTAACAGTTTCAGCGCAATTATTCTTACGCTATATTGCATTCAGACAAATTTATAAGGTCTTAGGTATGGATCAATTACCAGCAATGAAATTCCCAATTCGTCCATGGCGTGTAAATCGTAAACGTAGACGTTCCTCTGGTAAAGGAGGTGTTGGTGGGGATGGTGATAATGCTGATATAGATGACATCATTAGCGATGAAAAGATTGCTAGGAAAGATAATATTTAAAGCAGCTAAACTTTGACTTATTTAAATTAATAATATTTGAAATTTATAATATGTATTTTCCAGTTGGAAAAACAAAAAGCTATTTGAAAATTTTTAATGAATTAATAATAACCATTAGTTTGTGAGAAACTATTTCATGTCACATAACAATTGAATTTTATTAGAATTTAGAAATCAATAAATAATTTTATGACAACATAAAATATATATGTAATCGTTTAGATATTTATAAATAATCATTCCATTTGGAGTTCTTTTTACAGCTAGAACTGAGGTCAGAGGCTCTATTTTCAATCCGACGTTTTTTAGACGAGAAAGACGCTTCGGTTGCATTTTGATTTCCATGAAATGTAGTTGTGTCACAATAGCTCGTATTAAAGTCACTATTTGTATTAGTCTCGTCCACATAACAGCTCCATTTATTTTCCCTTTCGCTGTTCTCTTGTTGTGATTGTTGTCCTAAGAAGTCTTCCGGCGAGTTTTCCATTGCAATAAAATCAATATCATCACTTTGTAAAAATTCCAAAACTTCATTCTCAACTTCTTCAGTGGCACGCCCTTTATCCATATTTAGCTCTTGTGCTTTTAAACGACAGTCTCCACCTGAGCCACGATAAAATTCTTTTTTTAAGGATTGCTTAGCACCGCAAAGTTTACACTGCCATTTATTTATTTTCTTCACAATATCGACCTAAACATTATATGTATTTAGAACTCATACATATGCAATGTAGTTTTATTTTACCTGGTACATGTTACAATCAAAGCATAACACAACCCGAATTTCCTGCGGCATTTTATTTCATATATTTATCTTATTAAAAAATTATATTTATCTTATTTTTTAAAATTATTAAAAACTATTAAAATAAAACCTTTTGCCGGTTTCGCTGATTTTGACTTTTGGCGCTGCACTTAAATCCAATCAGCTGCAATGTAGCGAGTAAATTTACTCGCTTTAAATTGATGTGTGAACATAAAATTGTTGAGGCGTCAACGGCGTTGTAATACTGTATATATTAAGTAATATACTTATCGAATATAATATTGTAATTTTGGTATTTCAGCTCGCTTCATTAAAATTTGTTCAGAGAACATACATTAATTTAATTTTATTTTGATCTGTAGTTGAACTCGTAAATAAAAAGGCTGCCAACAATTCAATTTATTAAAAAAAAATCAAATTTTCTTGTAATTCATTTTTATTCAAAAAATTCTCAATTAAAAACTACTTTTTTTAATATATTTTGTTTTAAAATTAAATTTAAATATCTTATTTGATTTTCCCTTAGTTGACGATAATTATTTATAATATTAAATTTTATTCATAATTCATATTTACAATTTGTTATTAAATTTGTGAATTATAAATTTGATAATAACTTGACTTATTTTAAATAATGATTCAATCATAATTGTGGTTATAAGATTTCATGGTATCGGATTGGAATCTTATCGAAATTTGTGCTGTGTGAATAAGTAACATGTCAGCATTTTTTGCAAACACAAATTTAAGTGTTTGCACTTCTCAAGCGAATACTAGCACAAAAGAAAAATATTAAAAATTTATTATTATTTTAAATTTTTTTTCTTTCTTTTTTTTTTTTTTTTTGAAATAATTTTAATAATTTATATGATATCTCATGTTGATGTTACATTTTTCTTCCATTTCTTAGATTGTGTTTTAAATTTATTTATTTATAATTTGCTGCAGCGGTTTTGATTAGTTTACAACAGTATTATCTAGTTAAATGCTATTAAAAATTAATGTTTCTTTCCATGCTTTTTAAGTAAAAGTCTGGTGAAATGAAAAATGAAGACAAACTTGTATTTAAGTTGTGAGAAAAGCAATATACTCAAAAAGTACGGAAATGCTTACAAACAAAGATTACTTTTCCGTTCTATATAAAATCTTCTAAATTTTGTATACAAAATAGAATCATTTGCTTCTCATTTTTGATTTTTGACCAAAATGAGCCGTTTGAGGCCAGTGGAAATGCCATATTACAATACTTTCATTGTGCTTATAAATATAGCACAATATTTATAAATAAATTTATGTATAAAATATTGATTTTAAAATTTTTTTATTCAATTTGGATATAATTAATTTTATATAAAATTGTATAATGCGCATAAATAAACTGTAACTTATACGGCGTTTACATTGGCCGAAAATGGCTCATTTTGGTCAAAAATCGAAAATGAGTATCGAATGGCTCATTCTTGCATATAAAATTTCAAGCACAAAATGAGCAATTTTCTCACATTCTGTATGAATGACGTTCGAATGCATTCCACATACGTTCCAAATGCAAAGGAATCCATTGAACATACCCTAAATGAAAGCTCTTCGTGGCATTTTGACAGTTAGAAAAAGCTGTTTTTAACATATTTACAAAAAAAGGTAAACAAATGTTTGGTGGTTGCATTTTCTTGAAAACGATGCACTGCTTTTTAGAACCTTTACTTCCCAAAAAGTAATTAATCGAAGTTAAAAATATGTTTTAAGTTTCTAATGTAAGGTTTGAAGGCATATTTAATCTTCATGCAACATTTTTTTGGCACAGGCCCAAAATCAAATCAACATGCAAGTTGAAAAATCAGCTGTTGAAATGAGAACAAATGAAATAAAACGAATGTAAACACTTTCAAATGGCTCATTCAAAATGAGCCATTTTCGGCCAATGTAAACGCCATATTATTTACTATATTATTTTTGGGAATATATTATAACATATTTAATATATAACATATGTTTAAAATAATTTTATAAACCTACATCAAATACATATGTATTTAGTTTTTAACTCTAAACAAAATTAAAAAAAATATATAATGAAATGCATAAAAACCGTTTCGAAATGTCTGATTTAATAACTTTTAATAAAAATATATGTAATTGTTATAATAATTAACAAGTAATTAACATTTGAAAACGTTTTTCTATTTTGACATGTTTTTAACTCAAAGCTGTCATTTTGCATAGAACATTAAACGCAACTAACTTAACACAAAACTCAGTACTTCCAAAGTTCTTCCTAACTCTTTGAGTGTTCTTATTGCGAAAATTAATACGGTAATAGTGTGAATATAATTAATTTAAAGTTGTGTTAAACGTTTTGTTTATATAATTTTATCTGTGTTATACTAATCAACGACAAATTCTGTTTATATATATATAAAGTTTAGTGTTGTGCTTTGACATGCGAAGTCTACAACGATGTTCTGTCAAAAAATTTTTTTTTAACATGACCATAGTTTCGATTAGCAAATATTGCAAATATTTTGGCTTTTCATGTTTTAAACCGTTGTAGTTTTAAATATTGTCATAACGTTATAAACGCTTATATAAACTATACTTTATTACAAATATATAATAAAACTATTTACTTTTTGCGTCTTTGACATTGAAAAAAAAACGAACAAAATATGTAAAACAGTATACATATATAACAGTCTTATTAATTCAATGCATTTATTAAGGTTGGATAAATTTTTCGATTTGTGATAGCAGTAAAATTAAACTATTTAAACTCAAATGCAAATTGCAGACGAAGATTTTGTTTCCAAAGTTGGTTGTGACATTGAATATTTCTTGAAGAAACGACACTGTAATGGGTAAGTTGCTGCTGTTGTTGTTGTTGTAAAGAAAGCTTACTCAATAATATTCTATTTAACTGAGGCAAGTATATTGCGCCTTTTTTGAGAGCAACATACTAGTAAATGAAAAATTTCTAATGGTCTATGCTATGTCAACTAAAAAATTTGATATTTATGAAATAATGATTTGTAGTGAATTTGTAATATCATGTAGGGTACTAGAACCACTCACGACAGCAAGTGGGGGGTTCTATTAGTAAATGCCTATTAGATGTTAATTTGTGTAAATATTGTTACATTTGGTTGACTGTAACGTTTAAGCGCGAAAAGTATTTTCGTTTGAATTTATCATTGCTTTAAATTTTAACATATAGAATAGTTTTATATATAGTTTCACTGCATTCATTGAAAGTTTTAAGGTATAAAGATATATACCTGTATATATAATCTGTATATATACAGATTACCAAATTACAAATATTTTTATGTCTCATGTGTATTTTAATATTAAATTATTAACATTGAATGTCGTTACCCGCTGGGACCTGCTTGTGAATTCCTTTTGAGAGGTGTCAAACAACACTTGGTAGTCGCTGGCGAGGAGCTGCTCCGGAATGTAGACCACGCCATTCTTAGAACCATTGTCATTGAATAATTATGTCATTGAATAATAAATTATTGTCATTGCACCAAGGTTTCAGAGAGCAAATTACATACAATTCTGTTTCCATAACTCGAACTTCTATAACTCGAACAAAAATTTTGTTCCGTGCCGAAGGAATATGGGAAAGTGTATTCTATAAGTCGAATATTTGTTTTAAGTATGAATCCATTCTGGTGTTAGGGGAAGTCCCTTTTTCCAAAACAAATGTTTAATTTTTTTAGTCGCTGGCAGCGTGGTTTAAAGTAAACAAAATAACTTCTAATGCTTCTCTTAACGATTATATTGAGCTTGACAATGAAATTTGTACATCAAACTTTTCTACAGATGACGATAATATTGAGCATTATAGCTCTGAATTAATGGATCCGATTCTAAGCGCAACGGAAAATGATGATAAGGGTTCCATGGATGTGATTGTTTATTATCAGCCTTCCAAGAATGAAACAGAAGATTCATTCAAAATTCTGAATTTATATTTGCAAACGAAAGATACTACAACTGATAGTGATAAGAGTATGAATAAAGTGGAATCTCTTTTTACTGAAAATAAGAAAAAAATTAAAGTCCCAAATCCTTATTTCTGAATATTATACCTTACTATAAGTTCTGTGCTTCATTTGATTGTAAATAAATAAATAAATTCTAGTTTCCTTCAAAAATAAAAAAAAATAAAAAAATTCTCTAACTCGAAGTCTCCATAAGTCGAATTTTTTCTTTGCAAAATTAGACTTCGAGTTATGGAAGTTTGACTGTATTTTAATTAGTTCAATTTTTGTACGGTCAATACAGCTATTTGGAATATTTGGCTGTTTTGATTATTGCCAAATATGTACTTTGGATTTAATTATTTGTAATTCATTTTATGTGACTGCAAGTACCAAGGTTTGAACTCGTACCTCAGAGTCAGCGTTCATTAACCAACTAACCCAAATCCTTGTATGTTGACTTGCATGATCGCACTTTGGGGTTTTGCTAATTTACTGTGAAAGTTCATTAACAAATTCGTTTGTTGAATTTATATATGAACGAAATCATAAACCAGCTATAGAATAATTGAATGAATTTTTTTAATTATTGAATTAATTATTTTTGTTAATATTAAAAAATAAGTTATAGTCTATTCACACGACACAAGTTAAGCTACATTACTGCCTACTTGGATTGAATTAGAGCTGCTATAATTGATTCCACTGAAATGTAGTGATACCGAAAGGACTTATATACTAAAATATCTATTAGTTATACAAAATTTCATAAATTAAATTTTAACTTATAGGCTTATACTTTAATATTATGTCAGCAACCTGTTTTAATAGAATTTTTGGGATTGATTAGTTAAATAGAACCGTTTTAATAAATTAAAATATAAATTTTTTTTTTAATTGTTGACATTAGATAGAATATGTTTTATTAGATTATAAAATTATCGTAAGACACAAAACCAGCTATATCAATACTGACGTCATTGGTTTCGACAGAAATTTAATTAAAGAATAAAATATTTTAAAAAATATGAATTTAATACTTTGATTCAATTTTGTTGTACTCTGACAAAAATTATTTAGATTTCAATTTCTCAAGTCTTGACATATGGTATCTATTGTATACAAAATAATTGTTTATTATGGATGGATAGATACTCTAAACATGAGTATAAAAAAGCAAAGAAATTAATTTAACAACTATTGGAAACCTACCATTAAATTAATATTAATTTCTTTTTTTTTAATCAGTTCATATACATAATCTACTATATATTGTAAACAAATTAATTTGTATTAAAAATTTCATAACTATAACTTGAACTGAACCAGGAAATGAGCAGAACCATTGTATTCCCATTCATACCCGTACTAACATAGTTACCGGTTTTCATTTAACTTCCTTACACATCGTAGCCTCTGATTGCACTCTGCATCGGAGCTGCAAGCGAGCAAGTTTTTCTTTTTGACGTAGTTTCTGCCATGGCAGACATGCCGCAAAAACCTGAAGCCGTAAATCGGTTATCTTACCCATATGTACTATGCAATACTGGGTTTATTTTCTTTGTATTGCTCTTTTCTTTCTTCTTCTGCATGGCTTGAATTGTTTACGTCTTGTATGTTAATTAAGTTTTTTGATGATAATCATGTATGCTGCTTCTATATTGTATTTTTATTGCATAACTTATAACATTTTGCTAATTTTGTTTTGTTTTAGTTTTTGCGCTATTCGCTGTTCATGTGTATTGTTAAATTTTTATACTCCGTTAATTCGCATAATCGTGACAAACAATTGCGACTCTTACCAAAACAATCGATTCACTAATAAAAACACAATAAAAAAATCATATTAAACATTAGTTGTACGCTACATTAGATTTAGTGAACAGTTTTCTTAAATTAATTATAGAGTATTTTTTTTTGGATGCTCTGTTATTGAATCTTCCCCCAGATTGTGCTTAAATATATACTCACTTTATAACTTATTTAGTCTTTATGTATGAGTAGTCTCCGCTAACCTCTTGTGTCAGCCAGTATTGCTAGTTGAGAGTATCGAGTGATTTTAGATCGTTTGTCAATTGATTCTTCAGTCGTTTTCCACTAGCAGGTACCGTATCAGGCACATTCTAGCCAGAATATTGTTATCTATTCGCTTAAATTAAAGTTTATGTTATAAAAGTAAATGTAATGAAAACCGGTTTAAAACGCTATAAAGTACGTACCTTACTATATTCGTTGTCTCTATCTTACTCAAAAGCATCGAAAGCCTAAGTCAGTGCGAAACTTTAATCCGCTAAAATAATCCTGGAATCCTCCTGGAGTCCCTCCTGGAACTTCCGTTAGGTATTACGTCAGAAAGGCGTCCTGAGCATCAGCTCAAATCGTTAGTTATGTCGTCTGAGTTCGTAACTGTCCTACGTAGGACCTCTCTTGTGGCAGCGGTCGATATCAATCGCCATGTATCCGGCGAATTAATCAAAATTAAATTTTCCGTCAGATGGGCTCGCCAATAGCCTCACTCATCTCTGCTCTGGTTTCGTTGAAACGTGGACAAGAGAAGAGAACGTGGTTTGCATCCTCAACGACCCGTTCACAGCTGGGACAAAACGGGTCTTCTTCGTGTTTGAAGCGATGAAGATACTGTTTAAGGATTCCATGTCCGGTTAGGATCTGAGTAAGATGGAAATCCACCTCACCACGCGTCCTGTGTACTCATACATTAAGATCTATCTATTCTTTCGTATGTGTATAACAGGGCTATCCAAAGCACGGCACACGGGTGTCATGCAGACCGCGGCTCATATTTGTGCGGCCCGCTTTATGTTTCTAATCTACGACAGTATTTTTAAGTATCACAAATAAATTAATTAAAACGTTTAAAAACGTTTATTACATTTTACATTAATTTACTTAATTTACAAAGACTTTACTTTATATTATTTTGTACAACTGGTTCAAAAAACTCATATCCAGTGCCGTAAAGCATTACATGAGATAATTTTTGTATGGCAACAATTAAAATTAATACGTTAATATTTTTAAAATTGCAAAAGATAAATTAATTAAATATTAATAAAAGTAAATGTAATCTTTCTCCGGTAAGATTATGAACGTATGTATTTATTTCCACGGTTCTCCCACCTATTTAGTGATTTAATTTGGACTGCGTCCAGTTAGTCAGTTTGTAGTTAAAACCTGCAAGCTAGGTAAACCACGATTTAATCATGATGAAACCCTCGAATCATGATTGCAGTATTAAGAACGGATGCTATGTTGCTATTTTTATTAACTTCCTAGCGATATTTGAAGCATTTCAATCCTTCACCATAAAATCAATACCAGTTAAAAACAGCAGAGTGGAAATTGGTGTGCTAGACCCATTGATATTATTCTCATTTGTGTTGCCGGATATATGAATACTGAAACGGTTTGATTTGGCCTGGTTTTGTGCTTCTCTCAATATATCCCTTGAAGTACACGTATCTTTTTCCCCGAGATCGTTAAAAGAAGTATTTACCTTTCATGTATAACTTCCATGTCGACTTGGACTACATATAAAAGATAACTAGATTTTGATTAATTTTTAAATGAGATTGTGTAAATACGCAGTCCTCTTGTCGTGTCATTGGTGTATGAGAACTCAAGCAGAAAAATTTCTTTTAATATTCATTGTTGAGAATGTGGAAACTTACAGGGAAAATAAGCAACCAATGATTTTCTATGTCATTACCCAGCTTTAGCTTCCAGAAGAAACAGGTTTTGGGAAAGTACTCTTTGAGTTTGAGTTTATCTGTTCCTCGGTAAGCATTAAAATGACTGTTAAGTTACTTAAATAAACTGGATAGATTTAGTACGTATCTCTTTAGGTTTTTTACAGGGAATGTAATAATAAAATGGCATTTAATCGTTGAATTGGGCAAGCGTTAGAATCACTTGTATGCCACATTCCTGCCACTGCAACCAACCAAGCAGTGATGTTGATATAGGCCATATTATTAAGAAGTTCACGGAACTATAAAAAATGATATACCAAAAAAATAGTTGAAATCCGTTTTGTAAAGTATTTTGTCTGCTATAACCAATCCAAGTAAATAAGGCCGATATCCATAAATTACTAGAGACATTTTATATAAAAATATTTATATCTTTTTTATTTATCTGCCTGAGTTTTTTAATTAAATCGAAATTCGCAGATGAGAAATGACTCCATCCATTTTGTTCTTTCATAGCTATGACACTATTTCCATAATAAAGATATATTCTAATTAAATAGATAAAATTAATGAATTTTAGTAAATCTTTGAGAACCTAACATACAAGTGAAACTGGTGTAGCTCCTCTATACAATAATGATTACAGTTTTAACAAGCTTGAGATTGCTTTGCAATTCGTCTTAACCTGTTTTTATTGCGGGCTTTTCGCTTCACAGAGTAAGGCGCACACCACATTATTCGCAATCACCAAATAGTTTATCTCTTCACCTATTCACTATTGTTCAAATTTTCTTTAAGTGATGAATAATAACAAAATAATATTTAAATTTTTTCACATTACAACTGATGTAATAGTATGAATAATAATGTTATAAGCGGTTAGTAAAAAAACAGTAATTCTTATATATATTTAGTAAATATAAAGAAAAAAAAATAAAGTAAACATTTAAAAAATAAATTATATTATATATTTTTTTTAAGGATATTACTTTTTCCACCTGTAAATAATTATCGTCGCTTTCTTATTCATCAAACATGTGAGAACTTTTGTAAACAGTACGATTTGTGTACGTTTTCGGTTGGACAAGGCATACATCGCCGTACAGTGATCTGCTTTCGAAATCAATTACTAGATCCAAATAAATTTGCCGACAGAACTTTCACTACTCAAAAGTAAGTGTACGAACTAATTGAAGAATAAACACAGATAATTATCATCTATTTATAAATTTCAGAAGAAAACAGTCGCCTGTTAAGAGTTGGAGAAGTGAACGAAAATTAGAATCAAATAATTCTCAGTTTGAAAATCACCGAAATTTTAAAATGGGTGTAGAAAAAAATTCTGATAAAACTCGTTGTAAGTATAATTTAATAGTTCCAATTATGTGCAAAAATTTTGTGTAAAGACTCAATAAATAATGTATCAGGATAAAGTAATATATACCTCCAGCTCAAAAAGTACCCGGATTTTCTAAATAAAACACAAATTTAAATTTTATTCCAAATTCATAGAGGTTTTTTTTTCCGAACAATAGTGAAATACAACAAAAATTTTATTTTTTATATTATTTTAATTAATTGAATTTTTTGCTGACCATACAGCTGTTTCGAGTATTGTCAAATACCCATCATCAGTGGTCTTGGAAATAATTCTTGTATTTAATTATTCGTAAATAATTATTTTTTAAGACTGCAAGTACCAGGAATCGAACTTGGGTCCTGCCAAATGTGAAGCTCAGAATCAGCGCACCTTAACCAACTGATCCAAAGCCGTACTTACTTTTTTGTTCGCATATTTTTCTGGAGTTTTGTTACTATTACTATGAAAGTTTTTATTAACAATTTTACTTGCTGTGTTTATATTAGAACGAAATCATAAACCAGCTGTAGAATAATTGAATTAATTAATTAATTATAATTTTATTTTCAATTGTTAAATTTCAATACCATTCTGTTCGTAGAGGCATTATTTGTTGCATGATTTGTTCTTTCTTATGTTTATGTATAGAACCTAATCTAGGAACGTAATGCTGAGAAAGTCATGCTAATGTTACTCCACTAAAATTTATTTTATCTCCTTCAAAATATGCTCCTTCTTCACATATGCCAACGCTTAACGCAATCTTCCATACACTTTTCGTATGCCCGTGCAGGTATGGCTTCTAGTTCCTTCGGCGAATTCTCTTTTACCGATTCAATCGACTCAAAACGCTTACCACGAAAGGGCAATTTGAGTTTCGGAAACAGGAAAAAGTCGCACGGCGCCAGATCTAGCGAATAAGGTGCTTGAGCGATGACAGTGGTGCCGTGTTTGGTCAAAAAATCGCGTACAACAAGATTTTTCCATAGTAAAAGTCGCTAAATGCACTTGAGGTAGTCTCACATTAACAGCTGTTGTAAATAAACTAATTGACAGATGGCGCTCAAATTTGTACCATATGTCAAGAATGGGTGTTTTGAAAAAGAATTGGGTATCTTCCATAGCCTTATATGAACCGGTGTGATTTCTTACTGGTCCCGAAAATAAATGAACAACTTGAAGGAACATGTTTCAAAACAGAAATATATATTTCAAGTTCATTAAAATGAAGAATATGAACTTCTAATAATATGTATTCCCCATTTAACGTATCAAATTGACAATATTGTCGAATATTGTCGGTTTGCTTTGATAACTAGATCCCGTAAATCATGATTTGTTTTTTGATTTTTCCAATTTATTTGTACTGTTTTAAATCGAGAGTACATAGTTTTCCCTTGGACTATTTGATTTTATTGGCTTAGAATTATTTCAAAAGTTATCTTAATAATCATCTTAAAACTACAAACTTATTTCAACCTGTCTTTTTAGCTGAAATTATTCCCTTGAAGGTTACAGTAATTCCATTGCATGAAGTTCGTAAATTATAATGATGCGATTTTTTATTATGAGAAGATTAATAAAAATTGTGAATTCAAATACGCTATCAGTTTACGCACTAGAAAATATTTGAAAAATTATCTTGATCTAAGTAAACACTGAACTTCTATTTAAAGTCAGAACTAGTTAAAATATATCTACCTTTAATAAGTAACTTTGTTTACGTTCGTTGTTGTTGTTGTTGTTGTTGTTGTTGTGGTTTGAATTAGTGCTATTGCGCACTTTTACTCTTTTGTGGTTGGGCGCTTATCTCTAGCCCACACTAAGCTTTAACCATACTAGAATTATTATCGTTTATGTATCTTTTAACTGATGACAGTCCGTAGGTCCGCATATCTTCTTGTGCGTCCTGAGGTGGACTTAAGGTTTGTTAGGGCAGGGTTGGGACACGTATCCACATTTGTAAATAATTTTAGGGTTCTGTCCTTGATAAATTTTTTCACTGAGTCAATCCTTAGATCTCTATGCATGTCTGTTGTTCAAATATACCAAAAAATCCTAATTTGTCTTCTTAAAGACAGGTTTCACCACTGTTTTTAGCCCAGCCCGGATTACGAAAATTAGTTACAAGGATTACATACTAAAATCAAAAATACATTGCATCGTTTTTTATATATATATCTTAAATTATTCTTTTTACATATAGTTCTTATATGATCTTAAAATGTATTTTCTAATAATAATATTTTATTTCTCAATAAAATAGGTAAATTATATCAATTTCAGTTAGAAGATCAATTGTAATTTTATAAAATCTCGGATATATATTTCCGAAAACCTAAAATTCATTCTACAATATACTCTATATCTAAGTATCTACATATAAGTAAGATAGTCCTAAAAACTGTTCATATTTCTCAGAAGTGTAATTTTTAATGTTAATTCGGGAATGTTATATATTTTTTTTAATGTAGTTTTAACATTTTTTTTAACTTGTAGATAGAGTTTTTATAGTTACATATAATGAGACCTATTTTTTACTGGAAAGAATTGTGAGATCAGCCGATGAAAAAACTTGTTTTGGTATTTCTTGACATTTTTAAAAATGTATAAATTTACTGTTAGAAATCTGTGGCAACTAAAAATATCTTATGTCTGTTTATTTGTGCTTGATTAGTCAGGTCCGCCACATTCATCTGCGTTTAATTATTCATCGTTTAATTATTTTATATATTGTTCTGGTGTTTCTTTTGTTAAAAGAAAAAAAATGCTTTTTTGCCGCATTTTTTAATTTCACTAAGTTGTTCGTTACTTCCCATTGTACCATTAATTTACCATTATTTTTCTCAGATGCCCCCTCATGTCCTCTCAAAGCAATTTCAAGGGGTTTTTCATTGGTTATGCTGTGAGAGGCGGATCATGGTCGTGTAACAAAATCATTTTGCCATACCTTCTGGCCCATTCCGGTCGTCCTTCGATCAATACGTAATTTAAATCATTTGCTGGTAATTGCATTGTGGATTAACGGGGTTTCTTCACGCTTCAATAAATGGAATTATTTTGAGCAAAAACAAAGAAACTACATTATTTTTTTTAAAGTGACTTATAGGTTTTTGGTATTATTTCTGTCAATAAGACGTTTTATGATTTTTAATAATAAAATAAAATGTTTATGAATAATTTCGCAGAGGACGTCTTCCATATGAACACTTATGAAGCTTTTGATTGGTAAATCTGAAGCAACTTTTTAATTATAATTCACTTTTGTTGCAATTTTCATTTGGGATTAGTAACTCTCGAGCGAAATTTATAACACATGTGATTAATATATAACACTTTAAATATTTTGTCAGAGTAAGAAGATTACACTTGAATTAACAGCTTTTTTATATGATTTGACTCGATATACACATATGTGTGTATTTATAAAATATATTTAAAAGACCATTACAAAAAACGTTAAGATGTGTTCAAAATTTGATATATCAAGAGTAAATCTAGATTGAATCCACATTTACCAATTGAAAATGCTATTAAAATGCACTTAAGATTCCATTAATATCTATCAAAGTATAGGACCTCTTCTAGCACTACTACAAAAATGTTAACATGTGTTTAAAAACGTTCGATTGGGCAACAAAATTTGACAGATCGAAAGTAAATCTAGATTAAATCCACATTTATCAATTGAAAATGCTATTAAAATGCACTCAAGATTCCATTAATACCTATCAAAGTATAGGACCTCTTCTAACATTACTACAAAAATGTTAAGATTTGTTCAAAAACATTCGATTGGGCAACAAAATTTGATAAGTCGAGAGTAAATCTAAATTAAATCCATATTTACCAATTGAAAATGCTTTTAGAATGCACTCAAGATTCCATTAACACCTGTCAAAGTATAGGACCTCATTTGAATGTATTGAAATACAACTAATTCAATTATGTGTTTTAATAGGAAGTAAATATCTACAAATAAAGTATTGTGTTACTTGTATTATATAGTATTCATTAAATATCTGTTTCTCAATGTATATAATATTACTTTAATTGTTTTAACAAATTTTTGATGTTTTGCTTACAACTTAAGCCGCAGATGTAACAAATTTTGCATTGCATGCCACTTGAAACCAAACTCACTGTCGAGGTGTAAACACTACTTAAGTCGAAATGATAATAAAGTGTTATGGAAGACTTGCAAAAGATACTGTCAATCATTGTTGTTGTCTTGCTGCTGCATACAAATACACTGCAAATGAAATATAGGTTTCTGTTACAACAGCGATTGATGCACAGCTGTTGTCTGCTGATGGCATTTTTATCACCTCTCATACCATACCAGTTAATTACTTTAAAGGAAACTTTATTCCAGTAATCAGTGGAGAGAGATGAGAGTAGAGTAGTAATCCTCGATAGTATAGTGGTTAGTATCCCCGCCTGTCCGTTAATTACTTTCATTTTTAACATGATATGTGTACATATGTATGTATGTTAGTATATATGTTTGTAATTACATAAAATTATTAAAAGACTACAAGTATAAGTGCACTAAATAGTCTTCAAAAAAAAAAAAATTAATAAAAAATACAAAATTAAGTTGAAATTAAGTTTATGAAGATGTTTAGCTTAATTTGTGATTAATTGCTTTGAAGAAGAAGATTGGTTAAAACCTGCAAAACAACCATATGTTAAATGATCATCTTAATATGTATACATACTATTCAGACGCATAACCCAAGTAATTTGAGGACCCCCCTCACTCCCCGCTCTAAATTATATTTAAACATTTGTCCAAAAATAACCGAAAATACCGGCAAATCATCATCGGCACATCGCGCGGAATGCGCCGCGCCAAGTAAATTAAACGATTGTATTCAAGGTCGTCCTCTTTTGTGGGGCTATTTCACATTCAAAACGAGTGCACATGAAACAACAGCGACGAAACCACACAACAACAACAACTACACAATCCACAAAGCTCAATTATTAATGACTTTTACTCTCACATTTTTTCGCATTTGAAATTCTCTTTTGAATAGTTTTTTTTTAAATTGTTTTGTATTTTGTTTTGATGTCTTTTTGGGTTTTTTTTTTAAATTTTTTTTTCTTATTACATCATTTTTTCAAATTGTTTTTTTTTCTTTGCTTCTTACTACTCTGCAAATTAATTTATGTGAAACAAAAGCAACAAGTAAATAAAATTTGTAACTGCGGAGAGCGGCAGAAACCTCAAAATGAAATGGGGTCAACAATTCAAATTTATTTTCCATTCGCGTTCTCAATGTGCACATGTTAAACAATTTAATTATCAATGCACGGTGGGGAAGAAATGGTAAAAAATCGGACAGAAAATCGGACTTGAACACATAAAGGACTTAGGCCGTGTGCGAGTTCGAGTAAATTGAAGTAAAGTAAATTGAAATTTTCTAGAGTTTTTTTGCACTGCACTTATGTCAATATTTATTTATTGTACTTGTTTATTATTTTTGGTTAAAAGTTTTCTAATTTATTTATTTATTCACAATGGTAACACCTAATTAACTTAATTTTTATCTAATTTGCCCCATTCAAAATTCTGGTAAATACCAACATTCGCTGCCATACCGACATAATTTACTATTTCCCTCAATTTAGTCGAACTCGCACACGGTAGTAATAACTTAGTCGAACTTATTAGTAAATTTATAATGAATTGTTCGGAAGAAACTAGTGGTATTCATAAAACTAATCGATTGTTTGCTTGACAAAAGAACAAATGGCATATAAAAATCATAATCAGATTAATAATGGCGTTTAATAATGGCTCAAGGTTTACAAATCGAAAAGGAAAATTACACTAAAAGTAAATCTAGAAACAGAATAGTATTGAAATTTAACAATTAAAAATAAATATTTAATTAATTAATTTAATTATTCTACAGCTGATTTATGATTTCGTTCTAATATAAATACAGCAAGTGAATTTGTTAATAAAACTTTCACAGCAAAGTGACAAAACTCTAGAAAAATGTGCGAACATAAAAGTCAAGTACGGCTTTGGGTCAATTGGTTAAGGAGCGCTAACTCTGAGCTTCAAATTTGGCAGGGCACGAGTTCAATCCCTCGTACTTGCAGTCTCAAAAAATTATTTACGTATAATTAAATACAATAATTATTTCCAAAACCACTAATGATGAGTATTTGGTAATACTTGAAACAGCTTTAATGGCGAAAATTTCAATTAAGTAAAATAATATAAAATGAATTTTTGTTGTTGTAGTTCACTACTGTTCGAAAAACCTCTTTACTAAAAGTGCATCTCGATTGATATCCTAGATTTACCAATCGAAAACAACACAATAATCTCTTGTTATGTTATGTTGAACCTTTTTCGAGTTGGTGCATCTGGGCACTTTTACTCTATGATGGCTGGGAGGTTTTTGTAGAGTTCCTCCCATCTCACTGACTAATTTGAGTATTCCTCATAATCTTCGTGTACCGTGTATCTACGTACCGTTTTCAATTGATAAATCTTAGGTAACTTTTTCAATCAATTTACTTTTCACTTTGGATTAGTAATATTCCTTATCTCAACTTATCTTTTGCTTAAAATTCATCTTTCGCATAGTTGCATTTGGAATTTTCTTTAATTTCAGCCTTCTTTTCAACGAGATTAAAGCCATTCTCCTTAATTTACTTAATAAACTGAAAAACTGAATTTAGTATGGAAAAAAACAACTTAATTTCGCTGAAACAAAGATGAAATTAAAATTTTTGCGAAATTAAGGTGTGGCTGAATATAGTATAAAATTTTTGAGAAATTTTTGAGACGCTTTCGATTGGTTAATCTGAATTCAATCTAAATTTACTCTCATTCTGTCAATCGAACATTTTTAAAGTAATCTAACATTTTCGTAATAAATTTTTTATAAAAATATGTATCAAATCACACTTATCAGTCAAATCAGATAAAACAGCTGTTAACTTTAGAGTAATCTTGTTACTTCAACAAAATATCTAGAGTATTATTAATTTCAATTGTTATATATTTCACTTGATTTGAATCTTGATTGAAAAAACCTATTCCAAATTTAGCAATCGAGAACGGAATAAGAAATATCAGATTAGTATGTTCTAAAGTTTTCTACAAAAAACACTTTTACACTTCCACAGCCTGAAAAGATTATATAAAAATTAGTAAAAAAATAAATAAAAATAAATAAAAAATTAAACAAAAAAAATTAATAAAAAAAAAACTAAAAAAATAAATTAGTGAGTTTCAAACTGAAAATATATATCCAATTTTTTTTCCAAAGTTAATATTTCGTAACCACACTAAAGAATTACGTGCCAAAATAAAATTCATAATTGTATGGTTATATAATATTATAAAAATTCTTTCTTTAAAACATTAAAAATTTTGTTTAATTAATTAACTGTAACTATGAAATTTTTTAATTAAAAAACAAAAATGTTATAATACCACCGCACCACATTAGGCCCCTTCTCAAACAATATAGTTTAACCAACATATGATCCAATCATCAAAATGTTCTTTAAACACAGTTTTTGAAATCGACTTTAGTACTTTCCGCGAATACTCTTTTATGTCATCTACTGAAAGCGGTTGCCTCGAAGTCGTAATTTGAGTTTTGAAAAAATTTTAAAAATGGCTGACAGCCAGATCAGGGGTAGTCTATATAATATATAGTGATATGATCTATAGTGATGTGATCTATAGGAAAGACTGATTTAGTATCTCGAAAAGCTCTGCACAAAAGATCTTTCAGTGCATGCACAACCTATCCGTAATAATAAACTCGAAAAGTTGTATATTCTTGGATGAAACAATCAGATATGGATTTAATCGGATCACGCTGGTATTTTCGTCAACGAAGCTGCAGATAAACTTGCTAGGAAAAGGGAAGTATCGTTGCTTGTAGGCCCGGAACCATATTGTGGCATGACAGAAAATTTTTTCTTTTCATTCATTCAGATTGAAGAGTACAAACTAAGAAAGCTACTTTGGGATAATTACAGTTTAAGAATTCAATGCTATTGAGTAAAATACAGGTATTCCTTCAGAGAACTGTACGTTCACCTTATATTTTATAAAAGTCAAAACTTACTCTAATGATATTTGTAGGTTTTATAGTGAAGAGGTCTCATTGACCATGTACTAGGAAATTGTTCGTCGCTGTTGAATAAATGTTTGAAATACCTAGATAGGCATCTGATATCTGATGAAAAAATAAAACTGTAATATAAATGCAATACTACAATTTTTAGATGAATTTTGATTTTGAGAAATACTGGAAGTCCATGAATGGTGTACAATTGATCTCCAAATTGCAGTGCAAAGTCACCACCCATAATAAGAATCATCCAAGTCATTTTTGGAGAATGTATGTGAAGTATTTGTGTCATTTTTGGAATTAAAGAATTATGTCTTTATGCCATTGGTTAGGCAATACTCTATATATGACTTCTGCTTTTAAAAATTTGCTCAATTTTTATATTTGAAAATTTATTGGCAAAATGACAGAATAAAAAAAATTACTGTGTAGGCTTGCCACGATTCTATTATAGATTTAGATTTAGCTATAAATCATTTTAATTTACACTGAGCCAAAAAATTAGCATTATTAAATAAATTAGATATGTATACAAACTTCTTGTTAATTATGTGTGTTTTTGTCATGGTCAAGCCATATTGTGATATATTTTTTTAAAATTTTTTTTATAGAAACATATCTTTATCTAGGTAGCTAATACAATAGATAAATTTAATCTGTTAGAACATAAATGTTGTAATTGTTATATATCGTTTTCATAGGGGGAAAAGGACTTAGTAGTACAATTTTTTATAGTTTAAAAAATTTTTTTTATAGAAATCTATTTTTATCTAGCTAGCTAATACAATAGATAAATTAAATCAGTTAGAACATAAATGTTTTAATTGTTATATATCGTTTTCACATGGCGAAAAGGACTTAGTAGTACAATTTCTTATATTTTAAAAAAAAATTTTTTTATAGAAATATATTTTTATCTACAATAGATAAATTAAATCTGTTAGAACATAAATGTTGTAATTGTTATATATCGTTTTCACAGGGCGTAGTACAGTTTCTTATATTTAAAAAAAATTTTTTTTTATAGACATATATTTTTATCTAGCTAGCTAATACAATAGATAAATTAAATCTGTTAGAACATAAATATTTTCATTGTTATATATCATTTTCACAGGGCGAAGGACTTAGTAGTCCAGTTCCTTATTCTTAGTTAATTTTTAAATTTATTTTATTGTTAACTCATAAATAAATAAATAAATATATCGTTTTTTTATTTTCAGTGAATAAATCTCATTCCGTTGACTTGTATATACCACCAGCATTACGAAATTTCGAATTAAATGAAGGTTCATACAGAAATGCTACTGCAGCATATGCAACTATCTCAAATAATACATATTCGACCTCAACGACATCTTCACCAATATCCACTAATAACTCTCCCATACATTTAAATGAGAATAGCAGTTTCGACAATTCAGTGACCTCCAAATGCATTGTATTACCGAAACCAACGTTAACAACAGCCACAGCGCCAACCACGGCAACAATAACAACAATCGCGCCAATTGCACAAAATGTGGAAAACGGGGAGCAAAGGTAAGGCGAAAAGATATAAAAATTTACAAATTATGCTAATGAGTTAATAGGTAAATACCTTTGTGCTTCGCACGCTTTAATATGTATGATTTGTTTGTTTAAATTATTTTGAAACTGTCATAAAAGAGAGAAAAAAAAATTATTTTTTTTTTATACATACATATGTATTGCAAATTCATACGAAGCGAAGTGTTTTCGTGAACGTATTTCGCTGTCAACGAACTCGAGGCACTTGTTTGGCTTTAATTTGTTTTATTGTATTTAATTGTTTTATGAAATTCTTTATTTAATTTTTTGTTTTGCTCATCTGTTTCTATGCTTTCATGTGTCTTTCTTACCAAAATTTTTTACTCTACTCGATTATTATACACATAGGCAAAAGCAAGCAAGACGTGAGCGACGACCAGATCGTGTAATCTACGTTCCAAGGGCACGACGAAGTCAAACAACTCCGCCGACAACGCAGCCACAAGCAACAACAACAACAACTGCGTATACAGCTGCTGCTGAAGTTACAGCAGCTACCTCGGCCACAACCAGTGCCAGTAAGCAATTGGCAATTATTTCTAATTCAGCGACATCAGTCTCTGCTGTAACGTCAACCAAAGCAGACGGTGTTGATGGTGGTATTGGTGTTAGTGTGTCAACGGCGTCTAAAAAATTAAAAACGAGTAGTACCCACAAAGAGCGTAAAGAACGTAAGAGAACTACAAATACGATACAAAATAGAACTACAAATATTGTAGATAATTGCGCGCCGCAATCAGCTAGCATAATAATACCTGTTCAAAGTGGAACTGATAATTTTGATGTAACATATTTAAATAACTGTGATAGTGAACAACAACAACAACAACAACAAACACAACCTCAATCTCCTGCAGAGGGAAACACTCATTTACAAATTATAAATAATTTTCCAAAACAAAATATAAAAAACTTGAATTCATACGATTACCTGCATAATTCTGAAAATATTTGTTCTCAATTAAACGATACTAACGAAATGAAATCATCGAAAAAACATAATAAAAATCAAAGAACCTTAAAAGTGGAAACCGTGGGGAAGCCTGCTAATCTGCTTATTGAAGATGTTGTTACCAATGACACATCGCGCACTCTTCCAAAATGTGATATAGACGAACAGGAACTGCAAAGAGCATCAAAGGTGAATATTAGTTTTAAGAAGTGAATCAAATGAAAGTAAATTAATACTTAGATTAATGTAGATTAATCTATTTTAGATGATTAGATTATTTTAGACATTATCTTAGATGATATGTTATTATTTTTTTATTTAATGTTTTTCATATATATTTTTATCTGGATATAGGTCACTTTGTGTTAAAATTAAAATTCAACGTTTGTTTAATATATTCCATATTTCGACTCTTCTTAAGAGTTATCATCAGAATCGGGATCTAACATAAATTAATATAAAGAAAATCATAAAATCAACATAAAAGTCAAGTACGGCTTTAGGTCAGTTGGTTAAGGTGCGCTGATGCCTGTTACTTGTAGACTCAAAAAATTATTTACGTATAATTAAATACAAGAACTATTTCCAAGACCACTGATGATGAGTATTTGGCAATACTCGAAACAGCTGTATGGTCAGCCAAAAATTCAATTAATTAAAATAATATAAAAACAAATTTTTGTTGTTGTTGTTTCACTGTTCAAAAAACCTCTTTATAAATAGAATATATATCTACAGGTCATGCTTGTTCACTATAAAACCTACAAGTATCATTACAGTAAGTTTTCACTTTTGTAAGGTGTTATTTTAACGTACAGTTCCCTAATAGAATACCTGTAATAATTTTTAAATTATTTTTACTCAATTGCATACAATCATTAAACTGTAAATTCTACCAAAATAACTTTCTTATTTTGTACTCTTCTTTCTGAATGAATCAAAAGAAAAAATTTCCTGTCATGCCACAATATGGTTCCGGGCTTATAAGCAACGATACTTCCCTATTGCTAGCAAGTTCATCTGCAGCTTCATTGACAGAAATACCAGCGTGTCCTAATCAAATTCATATCTGATTGTTTCATCTACGAATATACAACTTTTCGAGTTTATTATTACGGATAGCACTGCGACCTGAAAGATCTTTTGTGCAGAGCTTTTCGAGATACTCAATTACCTGTCTTTCTCATAGATCATATCACCATATTATAGACCATATCACAATAGAACATATTACTATAAATCATAACACTATAGATCATATCAATATATATCATATAGACTTCTCCTGATTTGGCTCTTTCCTTTTTTGAGTTTTTTCAAAGCTCAAATTACCACTTCAATGAATATAGATTTTATTATTCTGATGATGACTCTCAAGGAGAGTCGAAATATAGAATATATTAAAAAATATTAAACAAACGTTGACTTTTAATTTGAACAAAAAGTGACCTATAATTGGATAAAAATATATAAAAACCATTATTAAAAAACATGTCGATAAATAAATTCAAAATTTATTTTTTTTATTTATATAAGTAAGTTTTAGGTAAATATTATATATGTTACATATATTAGGTGATATAAAAAGTATACACCGTTTTCTGATACATTTTTGAACAAAACTTTTTTTTATTGGATATAAATTTTAATAAACTTTATGGTTGATTGGTTACAGTGACAGGTCAGCATATCTTTTCCTGCTGACAATAAACGTTTTTAGCCATTTTACCAACACATTCTTCCCAAGAAACCAAACGTTTTGCAAAAGTTTTATTGAGCATTATTATTTATGATGTTTATCGATAGCTTTATAACTCCATCGACACCGAACTACTTTAATTTTTCGGCAATTAACTTGGCTATATGATCTACAGCAGCTATTGGTTACAAGAACGACCGGGTCTACGTCCCGTAGCCTCTCGTTGCCAACGACGACCAAGTGCCATTCGACACCTTCCAAAAGAACTTTTCAAGCAGGTCCGCACGAATTAAAACAACAATAACAACAGCAGCTATTCTGTCGGTCAATTTTTTTTATCGTTAAGAGAGTTTTGAAGAGGCCGTAACAAAAGATCCTTGTACGAGTGTACAGGTCAAACAGTGGATGCATCAATACTTTCACAATTTCTTTACTGTTGGTCAATTCTGGTCGACTTTTCTTGATTGTTTTGTTTAAGCAGTAGAGAATCAAATCAAAACAAATCATTTAAATACCATCCAACACTCAGAAACTACAAAAACTATCAAACTCATAGCTTTAGTTGACTTCAATCCGAGCTTTGAAGTGATTTATGGAAAACCACTGCAAAATTTTATCGACTTTTTAGTAACTAACCGACCAGAGCGAGGTATGATATAAAAATTTTCTGAAAAGAATCTAGTCACAGATAGATTTTGCTATATTTTATATCAGTAGTAGGTAACGTTAGTTGAAAGAATGCCCTGTTTTGATACCACAGATAGGATACAGTCCTCAAGAAAATCTCAACAATTACTTTGAAAGCAAAACTTCCAAACTTATAGTGTAAAAATAGAAAATGATCGTCCTATCAGAATGATCGTCCTATCAGGTCCGTTAGGAAGGTTATAAATCTTTTTGTCAATGACAGGCAGTAACACATCATGTGAGGTGGTGTCCGACAAAGCCCCGACAAAAGTCGTTAAAATGTTCACCAAATCTTATTGAATGTCTTCTTAAAACGCAGTGGTCTAGAGTAGTGCAATTAGTCATAATTCTTACTGGTTTTGCGAGTACTTAAAGGACCTAGCATCGCTCTGCATGCATTTCCCGTAAATATAAAGAAAATGCCGTATGCTGTTGCTTGATCATAAAACAGCTACTTTAGGCTCTCATTTCCAATATATTATTTAAGTCACAATGTATATTGTCCTCAATTGTCTATATATGAACCGTACTCTTACTCTTTCCCACATTATTTATGAACTGATTTCTGTAGTCTCTTGTTTGCAAAAGATCAGTACTTTTATATAAGAAGTCTTTTTTTTGTCAGTTATTAGTTTTTTTTGTGTTTATATAAAACTCAGTTTTGATAAAAGAAAATGATTTGATCAGCAGGGTTTTTTAAGAAAACATTACTTATTTTTTATGTATGTAACCAATTTTTAATTTGTATATTGTAGGAAATAAATCGCAGCAATCGTCGTATTATCAAACAATCCTTCGTGTCGGATGTTTTAGAAATTCCAGAAAGAATAGAGCAGAACGGTACCGATATTGAAAAACCTAACGCAAAAACAAGTAAATCTGTTGACGTTAGTAGTAATACAGAGGAAGAGGAAGATGATTGGGAAACAATGTTTGATGAGAGTGGTGAATGCTTGGATCCAAAAATTTTAGAAGAATTAACAGCATCTGTTGGAAAAGTAAAAATTGAATTACCAAAAATGGATTATAATGTAAGTTTTTAATAATAAATATTTAATTAAATTTGCTGATATATGATATAAACTTTTTAATTGTAGACATATTTAACAAAACAAACAATTTTAAACGAAGAAGAGTTTCCACATGTTCTCGAAGTTTCAAATTTTCCTGTTGAATTTAAGAATCAAGATCTTTTAATGTTATTCTCACAATATAAAGAATCTGGTTTTGATATAAAATGGGTGGATGATACTCATGCCTTGGCTGTGTTTAGTAGTTCTCGTATAGGTTTGTATTATATAAACTAATGGATAATTAAGTTATATATCTTACTTTTTTTTAACGGTTATAGCTGCTGAAGTTTTATCAATGAGACATCCGTTTGTGGTATTAAAGCCATTAGCTGAAGCTACAGCAGAATCTCGACTAAAGGCAAAGAAATGTGCTACATCCTTGCAACCATATCGTCCACGTCCTGAAACATGTGCTGCACTTGCACGACGCCTGGTAACAGGTGCTTTGGGTGTTCGCTTAAAAACTGCCGCTGCAGAACGAGAAAATGAAAAACGTGTCCTACGTGAAGCCAAAGGTAAATATAATATCGTATTGTTTTTCTGGCCCGTTATTTTGAGCAACCATTTACTGATATACTTTACTTCTCGATATTGAGATTCAAAGTTGTAAATTTTTTATATTGATTACACAAGCACTGGTTTTCACGTAAAAATTTCTAATTCGAAATTCAATATCTCGAAAATTACACCATGTGAGTAACAGCGTAGTAGAGTATTGTTCAAAATTGCTATCTGCACTAAAATCTCTTGTCAAATAAGTCCGGGATATTAGTACCATGACAATACAGCTTTGTACAATATATATTTAAACATTTTTACTTTCAGAACGAAAATTACTGGCAGCTAAGCAACGTGATGAAGCATGGGATAATTAGGTGATTAATATAAATATTGCAGACTTGCCTCCTTAACTATTCTCTGCCATCCTTTTTGTGTACGTTGTCTTTAAAGACTTTCTATGAAATATATAAGAATAAGTTAATATCAAATATGCAAACATTGCATTTTAGCAGCTTTAAGAATAAATGTTTTAAGTATAATAATTTAAAAATTATAATTGTAAAATAAGTAAAATTTTAATCATTTCAATTGTACAACATCCTCTATCATTAATAAAATATTCATATAAATCAATTTCTTGTATACATACATACAAATATTGTACAACAATATTGCTCAATTGATTAATTTTAAGCTTATAAATCTTGTAATCTGTAATCTGTGTTGATATATTTACAAAAACGAAGATATGTAAAAATCAGATTTATTATGTACAATTTCTAATAAGAAGAAACTAATATTTTAACAATATTTACTATAAAACAATATATAATATTTTTTAAAATACAATTTTATTTTATATACATAATTATGGTCGCCTATTTATTTTATTAAATTATTTAAGATTATTTCATAAATATAAAAAAATATTTATACGAGTATTTCGCTGCAGTAACTATCAATTCCATAGGTTGCTGGCAAGACTAGTAATTAAAAAATGCAGACTAAACCGATACGAGAACAAAAACGATATTCGATAAAACTGTGGGTACCGCATTCTGTTTGAAACTTTAACTACGCAACATGGCAATGAATACTAGACCGATATGATAAGCAATATATACTTCGTTTTAATGAGTTGTTCTGAAAAAGACGTTATATTATATTGCTTTTTCCATAAAAGAAATAATAAAGAAAACCAAAAACTGGGTACATCCCATAAAGTTTGCAATTTTGAACCCAGTCGGTTATTGTAGCCAACCGTCCATCAAAAAGCAAGCATGTAAACGATTGACAAGACATAGCACAATGGGATGAAATAGGGAAAATAATATGAAGATGGGAGTAAAAAAAAGTAAGAAATAAATTAGAGATAGAGATTATGAATCTAACATGGTCCAGATAAAGAAATATTGCCATCTCAACAGGGTTGTAGTCATAAATTAATAGGGCTAAAATTTGTATGTACATTTGACTAATAAAATTTATAAAAAAAGAATAGATAAATGAGCTGTAATTGGCGGTACATAATTGGGAAACTATACTTTTTGCCGCACAAGGACAGCTTGTTGATAACCTTATTGTTAGACAACCGTGCTCTCGAAGAAAATACTGCACCGGGATAGATCACGAAAAGCTCAATCCCATGTTGTTGTTGTGATAACCCGTGGAAATCTATGAATTACTTACTGGTACAATCCCTTTTCGGAATGGTGAACCGCACTTGGTTGTCGAAGTTGACAAGTAACTCTTGGACGTAGATCCGGCCGCTTTTAGAATTGCCCTAGTCTAGAGTCAACGTCACTGATATTATCAAAGTTGCGCAAGTGGTCGATGTATTCATGATATGAAAAAAAAAGGATCCATCTATACGACAGGGAGGAAGAAACAAGGCTGTATTTATTATAATCGAATTTGAACGTCCATCTGTGTGTTACGAAAGAAAAAACTGTTTTAAAAGTAACTGGTTATATCCCTTGAAAATGAGCATTTTAGATTCCGCATGAAAGCGACTAATCTAGGACATTCAATATCAGCCGATTAAAGATGAAGAGCAGAGTTTTGACGAGTTTTGAAATTATTCCAATGCGTTTCGCAAGGAGGTAGACTCTATGCTGGTGCAGCATAAGCCTCACTGGAGTGTCCTATTGGTTTCGGTGTGTTCAACAAGGTTACTTTACCTGTACTCTAAAAACAGTTAACGATCTCATCAAGTTGCCTTAAGTCTTCAAGTGACCGCATACAATATAAAAAAGGCAAGTGCACTGTTTATTATTACAACAATACTTCTCCATCACAGACTAACTTTGTCTGACTTAGTCTGACAATATGATTTGGTAATGAATTTGAAACCTGAATAAATTAATATCCATTATTATTTAATAGGTATTAGATACATACAATTTTTTATTAATTTGTAGCAATATTTTTATTTATTTATTTTATTTTATTACAATTTATAAATAATATATTATATTAATAGGTATGTGATACATACAATTTTTTATAAATTTCTAACAATATTTTTATTTATTTATTTTACTTTTATTTATTTATTTTATTTTTATATATTTATTTTATTTTTATTTATTTATTTTATTTTTATTTATTATAATTTATAAACAATATGTTATTTAAATAGGTATTAGATACATACAATTTTTTATTAATTTGTGGCAATATTTTTATTTATTTATTTTATATTTTTTTATTATAATGTATAAACAATGTATTATTGTAATAGGTATTAGAGACACAATTTTTTTATAAATTTCTAGCAATATTTTTATTTATTCATTTTATTTTTGTTTGTTATAATTTATAAATAATATATTATTTTAATAGGTACGTATAGATACACACAATTTTTTAAAAATTATTTTGAGAATAATTTTTTAAAAATAATATATTCAAATTATATATTTAAATTATTTATATACACTCTCTTTTTACAATTGTTACTTGTCTTATAAATCATATTGATTTAATCACACGACTTATTCATATTAGTTTTAATAAAATCCAAATAAGGTGCGACTCTTATAAAAATGTCATAATAACTTATATATGCCAATATTTTACTATCTAATAAACCGATTAAATAATAGTTATGTGGCTCTCCATCTTTAATTGTAACTCCCATAACAGGTGAACCTGAAATAAGGTTATGGCTTTGTGCACGACTTAAGCATATATTTGTATCGTTTATATAGGGTAACCATCCGCCCATATTATTTTGGCATGTTCTCATGCTTATGACCATACCCATTGTTTTCAGCATTTTTGAATTTTTTTTTGAATTTTGATATCCTACATATCGTAAGTATTGCGCTAAATGATCGTTTGGAGACCATTCTTCAGGTGGCAAACAAATTGGTCTGACAAATTCTGTTATATTAACTTCTGTCGCAAGCGTCAATACTACTATATCATTATTACCGGTACGATTTTGAAACCTTGGATGTAATGCGACTTCCATAATACTGTATTGTTGAGGAACTTCATTGCAGCTACTATTTTTGTGCATACAATCGCGTTTAGTTACACTGTTTGCTATATCCCAATCACCTAGAATTACTAAATTTGGCATTAGTGTTTTATCTATAAAGCAACGGGCGCGAGATAGCATATGGCTTTTGCTTATTAATACCGCAATGCAAGCATAGTAAGTCGTGTTTTTAGGATCGGTTTCTGTAAGAAATCAAATTAGAGTTACAAAATTTTTTTTTGATGATATATATTTACCGCTTTTGTAAGCTATTCGACCAACCCATGGAAATTCATTTATATGTGCCACATTCTTCGATAGAGCATAAAAGGTTGGATCCAGCAAACCACATTCTTCTTCAGCTCCAATTGTTGAATTTATTTGAACAAAAACTATAAAAAATTTAAAAATTGTTCAAAAAAATAAATTAAAATTTTATTTACTTAATATGAGTGTGAGACTCTTTAGTAGATTTGATGCGTTGGCGAGCATATTTACTGTGCAAATGTAAAGTATTTTAGGAACAATTGCTTAAAATTTTATTTTATTTATTATTATTCGCATAAAACATATACATTGTTCCAATTGTTAATTTTTAACTGAAGTGATAAATAATAAAAAGTACATAACATATCCATGACTAATCTGAAGTACACTCCCAACAGAAGTAGAGATTAAAAGCATAACACTTCAGTACCGACATATACTAAAGCAACACTTAAAAAAAAAATACATATATATATATATCTTTATATCCAAATAAATGTACTAAATTATACAGGCAGTAAACTTTTCGTTGAAGTTTGTATCTTCAATTGGACAGGAAAATTATGGAAATAACATTTACCTATAATTGACCGCGTTTGTATAACGATTTCTAAGTATAGAACCCCACCTGAAAGCAATTATATAAAAGGTTGACAAAACACTAAAAAAAGGTGGGATGGGGAAAGTAATATAGAAAGAGAATCAAGTAAATAATAGCGCTCATGTTGGGATATTAAATTTAACCGAAGTCTATATGAAGAAATTTTACCACTTCAACGGGGTGAAACTAGGCCTCAAATTTGTTTGTGCCCTTAAGGGAGAAAATAGATGGAGCTCAAATAAATCAATAGGGTTCAAACAATAATTGCTTAGTAGATGGCTATATCCTGAACTTATTTGGATAAGTTCAGTATCTAGTATCCTGCTGCACTAGGAAGAGAACATGCTGTTAGACAACCGTGGTCTCGTAGACAATACTACTTCCATGTAGAGAGCGGAAATAGTATTTATTAGTGTTATTACTGTTGCCACAGGGGTGCCGCATGGATTGTAGTGTGTATACCTATGTCTACATTAATGCCATATAATTTGATAACATTTAATTTCTGAATATAGTCACAATGCTCTCTCAACGGGTATATAAAACCACACAAGATTTGTAGACATGAGGTAAACAAAGTAAGCTGAGCTAGAAGCTGAGCTAGAACACTACGCTACCATAGTGTTACGATATACAATCTTATGTATACATAGCTATATGCGCTGCAATGCTCTGTACTTAGATCTGAATCATTAATAATGGACTAAATAAAGTCAGTCTTGATAAAAAAAAAGTAAACAATCATTTTCACAATTATTTTTAAGCTCACTATAAGATGTCTATCTGTATGACATGAAATGAGAAATTGTTGGGATTATAGCTGATTGTTCTATCTATTAAGGACCATTTTAGATTCTGTTTGAAGACGGTTAACTTGTGATATGTGATAAGGTTTTATTTAGTTGTAATCTAGAAAGGTTCCATTACAACACACCAGAGGTTAAGTAACAATCGAAACAATGAATTTCTTTGAGCAGATCGCAGCTAAAGGTAATAGTAATCTTATGTGGTTAACAAAAGAATTCTTCTGAAGCACTTACTATAAATTATATTAAAAACTTGCCAGAAACAAAACAGCAATCAGAACAAAAAAATTTTTTTGAACGGATAAGAGTTGAAGTTCAAGGTAAATTAATTAATTCAAGAAAATAGCTCTTCAAAACCTGCATAGTTCTAGAGAACTTAATCTGTAATGTTCTAGCATTTATATTTATATTTTTTCATCTGGTTGCTTAAAGCTTTCCCGGTCGCAGAACTAGCTTTAAAAATAGCTTATACTAGTCATTTGGGAAACGAACAAAGTCGTTTAATCTTGTACTATCTCTTAAAACTTTGTACTTAAAACAAATTTAAACTATACCATATATATATATGAACAGAGTCCTCAAAATCATAATTTTATTTTATATTTATTTATTAATTAAGTCAATATTAATTTATTAACTATTAATTAATTTAAACATGATTTAAATATGATTAAATAAATTATTAATTAACATAATTAATAAATAAAATTAACCAAAAGTTTAAAAGTATGTGATATTATAAGCCTGACAAATTTCTATATACAACTTATTAAAATATTTACTTATTAATTAAATCAATATTCATTAATTGGTTATCAATTACTTATTAATAAAGTCAATATCTATAAATAAATTATTAATTATTAATTAATTTAATCATATTTAAAATAATTAATAAATTATTGATAAATAAATTAAATTATATTTATTATTTATGTATATTACAAATTTTATGTTATAAAAATTACAAATTTTTATATAAACTTATTAATTTATTTACATATTTTCTATTTATTTTACCTATTCATCATTAGGTTATTAATTACTTAATTATTAATATTATTATATCTATTATTAATATATCTATAAATAATTTATTATTATTAATTTAATCACAATTAAATGAATTAAAAATTTGTAAATAAATGATAAGTTAAAACATATTTATTATATTATAAACTATGTTATGTAATAAGAAGATTGAAAAGATTATAAATTATAAAGATTATAAAGTTTTGCATACAACTTATTACCTATTACCTATTAATAAAGTCAATATTCATCAACAGGTTATCAATTACTTATTTACTTATTGATTAAGTCAATAATTATAAATAATTTATAAATTATTAATTAATTTAATCATATTTAAAGAAATTAATAATTTTAAATAATTAATAATGACTAATTTTTATATACAACGTATTAATATATTTACTTATTAATAATATAAATAATACATGTGTATTTTAATATTAATATTACATTATTATTATATTAATATTATATTATTACTATATTATTATAATATTATTATTATATTAATATATGTACATTAATATTTATTATTTCTGCAACAAACCATTAAAACTGTTAGTTTTTAATTTTAATTTTTATATAACTATAACTATATAACTAGCATGCAATTAATAATGTCTCTGTAAACAGAATAATATTGAAGTTTAACAATTAAAAATAAAATATAATTAATTAATTTAAATATTCTACAGCTGGTTTATGATTTCTTTCTAATATATATACAGCAAAATTTTACAGCAAATTAACAAGACTTCAGAAAAATGTGCGAAAATAAAAGTCAAGTACGGCTTTGGGTCAGTTGGCTAATGAACGCTGACTCTGAGCTTCAAATTTGGCAGGGCACGAGCTCAATTCCTGGTACTTGCAGTCTCAAAAAATTATTTACGTATAATTAAATACAATAATTATTTCCAAAACCACTGATGATGAGTATTTGGTAATACTCGAAACAGCTATTATGGCCAAAATTTCAATTAATTAAAATAATATAAAAAAAGACTTATGTAAATATTTATTTATTATAAAAAATTGTGTTATTTAAAATTTATAATTTATAATTTATTATAAAAAGGAATTTTCGTTGTTGTATTTTACTGGAGTTCGAGTAAATTGGGGTAAAGTAAAAGATTTTCCACTGCACTTATGTAAATATTTATTTATTTGCAATAAATGCACTTATTTATTATTTTTTTGGTTAAAAGTTTTCAAATTTATTTATTAAATATTTTATAAAATTTTCATATTGGTAACATCTTATTTGCCTAATTTTAATCCAATTTACCCTTCTTGAAATTTTGGTAAATACCAACATTCGCTGCCATACCGATATAATTTACTAATATCCTCAATTTACCATCAATTAACTCGAACTCGCACAAGACCGAAGTAGGCAATATTTAAATAAACTGTTTAACTGTTTTTTGCCGGTTTTTTTTCACTCCACTTATAGCAACCTTTCATATATATTTATTTATTTATTAAATGAAATCAAAATGCAACACTGTAAGTGAATAAATGTTGCACGTTTTTAGCAACATGTTGCCTAAGTGGTGGTAGTTTTTATTGTTGTTTTGCGTGTTTATTTGCTTTCCAAATTTCAGCTAAGTCGTTTGCATGGAAAAAATTGTGGTGTTCAAATGATTTAAATAAATAAATAAAAATAGAAAAAATTATGTGAAACTGTAATCAGATCTTGTTGGAATATAATGTAGTGCTAAAATATAAATAAAAAGTGTGCAGAATTCTAAAAGATTTAAGTTATTTTTTACAAGCAAAATTCAGCGAAAAAAAGAAGCCTGAGGCAAGCTGCCGCTTTGATGTTATTTTTTTGTTTTTGCTCTAGAAAAACTCGTTCGTGTTGTAATTTTAATGTTGCGTGTGGTGCTGCAATCAAATTGTCAAAAGTAGAAAGAAATAAAAATAAAAAAAAATAAATAAAATAAAAGACAGTGTCCAATAGTTACATTCCTATGTTTGGAAGCGCAACATTTGCATCCTTTTTTGATTTTGCTTATTTGGCTTATTTGGCTAATAGCAAAATAAACATCATATAAAAGTATTAAAGGACAACGGGTGTCAGGCGGGGTGTTAGGTGTTAATGGTGCAGAATGAGTGGCGCAGCAAATCCCATGGAAATTGACGAATTCATTAACGGAGCACTTGTGTCATGGGTAAGTTCAATACTACGACGTTATTCTACAGTTGCAGTTCGCTTAATTGGTGTTACTTCGGTACTGCGGTACTTCGCTACTTTGTTCCATTGTTTATTGCGATGCTCATCGCATGCATAAGAAATCATTAAAATTAAAAATTAAAAATTTACATACAATTATAAGAAAAGCAAAGCGATCGCACACAACATATTGATGAGTTAGCTCTTGTGTATTTCCCACATCCCAATTGGGTTGCTTTCTGCTTGGCGTTGTGGACGGACTACGTCTCCACAAACAACCAAACAAACAAACAAACACAAGGTCAATGAAACGGAATCTGTTTAATTTACTCCAAACGTACGTGCGTGTGTATGTTTCTTCTGCGTTAAGTTTTTCATTTTCACGTCGAAGACATTTTATTTTGAATAGAAAATTGCTTTGCTATTTCTTCAATAATACAAAGAAATTATTACACATTCAATTCAATCGGTGGGCTTCCAGCCAAATGAGGTGCAAGCAAAATCGTTGAGGTAAACAAGTTCTATTATTTATCAGCTACCATTTGTGCGGTACGTTTTTCTCTTATTCAATTAGTTTTTATTCAGCCTTGCTAAATAATGAATGAAGCACATTTTTTTTTTGGCCTTTGGCAATTGAAGAAAAAATTATTAACTTCAATACCTGAGTTTCACATAAACCGGAAAAAGTTAAAAAAAAGAGAATTTTTTTTAATGAATAGGTGCTAATTGTGATTATTTTCTTATATTGTACAAAATTAATGTTGCCGTATCTGCACTTGTTATGGCTAGGTGCGGTTGGAGTGGCGGCCTTGTGCCCAAAGGCCACTTAAGCTGAAATGCCGGCCTGTTGTGATATCACCGATTAGCGTTGCTCATATACATAAAGGATTCTAGTAAGAACCGCAGTGGTCAGCGTACAAACAACGCTCAATCATCTGTAAGTGAAACAGTCGGACAAGTCTATAAACATGACCACGTCCCAAACTTTGCAGAATGACAGCTTTGTCAGGGCACTGTACTTATTATACTTTCGAAGACCCCGAAGGAGAATTACAGGTCTATTAGATCACTAAACCTATTATGCTTTCAAAAACCGTAAAGAATGACAACTCAAGTCAAGTCAATATACTTGTTATAATTTTAAAGATCCCTAAGGAGAACGACAGGTCTTTCAAATCACTAAACCTATTATGTTTCCTAAGAACCCGATTGAGGATGACTAAGCATAACAGGGCCTTTAAAGATCCCATAGAAAATTGGAATTCTTTCCTCAAAACTTAACTTTGCCATATAAATATAAACTTCATGTGTACAGTCTTTAAGTCGACTTTGTGACAGTAATGAAAATAACAGATTTCTTAGTATGAATAGATTTCTCAGTATGAATAGATCTAAACTGTCTTTAGCAAATATGTAACAGCTCATTTGAGTTAGTAACGAAACTGACAAGTTTCTCAGTATATATAGATTTGAACTAATTCTAGCAAATCTGTAATAAGCTAAACTAACGAACAAAGAAAAATGGTTAAACTAACCTAAACGAATCTGTAATTACAGTTTTTAGAAAACAAAGTAAACTAGCAAACAAAAAAATAATATTTCGGTGGTGAAGAAATAAAAATAATGAATCAATACTCTTGTCTTAGTGAAATGATAACATCAACAATTAATATAATGTTTACATTGACATCTAATATAATGTAGCCAATATCTGTGAGGTCGAATACAAACGCAAACTAACTGCTTTTCTCATAGATAAAGTTTCCTCTTCAAAACCACAATTGTCCGCAACAAAGTTTTTAATAGGCTATCACCTATTATCTCCTGGAAAGAGGGATCTTATCCCCGTGGGGCAAGAACTGTTCTAGCCCAATTGTGGTAAACTGACAGCTTTCCACACGGATGTAGTTTCTTCTTAAAAACCACAGTTGCTATCGAGTTTTTAATAGACCATCGCTTATTATCTCCTGGAAAGATGGATCTTTGCCCGGTGGAGCAAGAACTGTTCTAGCTCAATTGTGGTCAGGATATAGTAATGTTTTGAGCAGCTACTTGTCTCTACGTGTGTTAAATGGTTGTATAAATTCCTGCCTGGTGTTCGCACCATAACTAATCCTGTAGCGAAAAGTGGTACAATTTTGAGTGAGTTTTCGGAGCATTGTTAGTCACAAGTAAAACCACTGTCAAATACAAACACATATCTGCTTGTAAAATCCTTTTGGGTAATGGTGAATGGCACATGGTCGTCGTGGTTGACGAGTGGCTGCGGGACGTAGACTAGGTTTCTCTGAACAAGGGTTTATTGCAGTTTAAATCCCACCTACTCCCAAGTTGGTCTTCTACTGGGTCTCTGAAAAATGGTTTACAACCGGTGCGACATTCTACGTAAGCGTCAGGCTAAAGAGCTAATTCATTCTTATAGTTACGCTAAGATGTCCTTCTTCAGCAGAACAGAGTTAAGGTTGTTGGTGGGATATTAACGGGCCACCATGGACCTTAATAAAATGTAATAAAATGTGTATATCCGAAGAGATAGATTGTTGACTCTGTCTGGAAGCAGATGAGACTTACATTCTCTGTGACTGCCCAGCCAGAACTACTCTCCCTTCTGACATTAGGAGGTTTCAATGGTTGACATTCTGGCTTTCTGTTCTGTTCAGTAAGGCACAAAAGATCACCTATGGTCGCAGTGTTCCGCTCCGTTGTGAGCTGGTACCCTGTTTATTTCTATTTCTATACTCCCAATTCAGGCCTTTTCACTAATTCCCCTTATCCTTAATCACCCATCATCCATTTACATCCTAACCCATGTATTCGTCTTATAAATCGAATATCTGCTTAGTACTTCTCCGGATCGGGTTGACTTCAATTTAATATACCTAAAAGCAGAAACGAATTATAAGCTCCCAATACAGCTCAAAAACATTGTTTTTAGACCCGTCGTTATGACTTCATCATCAACTAGCAATGTGAAATGTTAAATTCAATTCTTAAAAAGCAATTGAATGGTGTTTGCATAGTCTATAATACCGAGACATATTCGAATTTGCTAACTATTGTCCATATTTTTAGTTATTAATAATTGCGAAAGTTCATCGGACGTTACATTGAAAACCAGAAAGTATTTATGCTTTTAATAAACTCAGTTAATTATTCCCAAAAAAAAAAAAGCGAAGCGATTGATAATTAATTTTTACGCAATAATTTACTGCTTTAAATTAGCTTGCAAATTTAAATGCTTTCACTTATACAATTTCATAATCATTATTGCTTATAACTTTTAATTAAAAATAAGTTTACGAATTTCACATAACAATATCTCATGCATATCTATATTCTCATATTGCAGTTGGAGTCATGTTTACCGCGCCCAGAAATACTTACAGGCTATTCTTCCCTGTTAGATGGAAGTATAGTACACAGCGTTTGGTTGCAAATCGATCCAGAACCACAAAATCATCTCAATGATCTACATACACTAACCGGAATAACACTGTGTATAGCACGTGCTAAGAATTTTGAATGCATAGTTCGGAATTTAAAATCTCTGTTTGAAGAGGAATTTAATCAAACTATACTTGTGCTTCCTGATTGCTTTACATTAGGTTATTATCCTGAAACGAAGCATGGCTTAGAGCAAATGAAAATATTATTAACTTTATTGCTTGGTGCTGCTGTGCAGTGTCCAAATAAAGAGCTTTTTATTGCAAGAATAAAAGAATTGGATGTGGATATTCAGCATGCAATTGTCGAACTCATTAAGCAGGTATATTATGGATTAATTAAAGATTAACTGATATTAAATAAAAAAATTATTATTAACAGGTGACTGATAATCATAGCTTGGTGCTGACAGAAGAATCTATTGATCTACTAACACCAACTGTTATGTATAATCATATACTTCGTCTAACAAAGGAGCGTGATAATATGTATATGAAATGGATATCATCTATATGTACAGAGCCAGATGTAAATATGTCCTCATGTGTGGATGGAAATGCTAGTTTACCGCTGTCACCATCAAGTAGCTTGAAATCTTCCTGTACACCATCTTCTTCCAATTCAGAAAGCAATCATTTGGCTGTTGAATTAGCTGATTTGAAATCTAAACTGCGGAAGTTGAGACAAGAATTGTATGTTTGATATATATCTTTTCTATTTTGGATATTGAAATGGATATCTTACTTAATATTTAGTAGGAGTATTAGTTGTTATTGTAACAACCCGCTGGGACCTGTAAGCAGATAAAGTTAAAGGATATACAAGACAATTACATGGTTGGGTAGTGCTTGAGGGTAATAGATGAGAAATGAGGATCGGGTGGAATTGGGTGGGTGAAATTTAATCTGGATTCTGATGGAAAAACCTGGCCACTTTAATGGGGTGGCTCTAAAGATCAATTAGACGGAGGTTTGTGTGCGTTGTAGAACAGGAGAACGGATGGGCGACGTCATGGAGAGTAGAGGTGCAGTTTAGGCACACATCAAGAAAAAACGTGTTTATGCGTGACAAGTAACTGTTTAGGACTCGGCTATATCCTGATCTCAATTGAGCTAGGACAGTTTTTGATGCACGAGAGAGATGTCGTTCTTTCATGTAGATGTTAGGTGGAGGTCTATTAAGAACCTGGTTGTCTGACAACTTCGGTCTCGAAGAGAATACTGCATCTGTAAGGAGTAGTAGTCTTTATTAAATTTACGTTATTTAAAAGAATTAAATGTACAAAATTGGGGTAGAATTGGTAGAAATTTAAGTACTCTGCCCTCAGGAAGAAATCACACTAACTTCGAAAAAAAAATCCTCCAAAATAAACCAATAAGCTTCTATAATGATTATTACCGTTAAATATCATTAATTGATACAAAAATGTTTACAAAAAGACTTTTCTGTTTATTACAGGGAAGAAAAGGCGGAGAGCCAGTTGGAATTGCGTGAAGAATTGGAACACAAAAGCGCACAATACGAAAAACTTAGATCTGAGGTAAGAACAATTTTTGAAAAACATTTTTAAATTTTTGATTATGTTTCTTATTAAACTTTTAGAGTCAGGAATGGTATGCAGAAGCTAAACGTGCAGCAGCTTATCGCGATGAAGTTGATGTGCTGCGAGAACATGCTGAGCGTGCAAATAGGCTTGAGATCGAAGTGCAAAAATTTCGTGAAAAATTAACCGATGCTGAATTTTACAAAACTCGTGTTGAAGAATTAAGAGAAGACAACCGCATGTTATTAGAAACAAAGTATATAATTAATTTAAATTTTCTTCTTTTATTATTTGATAAATAATAAATTAATGTGTGTTATTGTAGAGAAATGTTAGAAGACCAATTACAACGGTCACGTAAGCGTTCTGAACATGTTATGACGCTCGAATCTGAAATAATTAAATATAAACAAAAACTTAATGACATGGCATTGGAGCGTGATGTCGATCGTTCAAAGTTGGAAGAACTATTAGAAGAAAATACACAACTGCAATTAGTGGCCAAAAATTTGAACACAACTCAAGAAATTGATAAATCATTTTCGGACAATGAAGACGAATGTAATTCAGGCGATAACAGTTTATCTGAACAATTGACAAATAATGCACAGGTTTAATATATTTAACTTAAAATTTATAATGTATTAATCACATATTATTTTTAGACTCGTGCCTTAAAACTTGAACTTGAAAACAGACGACTTGCTGCTGCACTTGATCAGCTAAAAGAATCTTCATTCCATGAATCAACAAATAAAAT